AAATGGCATTGTTATATTGTGATTTTTGCACAGAAAACACTCGGAAGGTTTGGTGTGCTCTGGAAAAATGTGCAGAGTAGATCCTTCCCATCGCAAATATTCTGGTTTTCTTGTTAGCCATGCACTTTGATGGTTAGGAAGCAACTTGCTAGATGGTTTAATTAAGATATTAGAGCAAAGCTGAAGGATCTAGCTATTATAAAGTACCTCATGCTGAAAGTTTTCTGTATTGCCTCAGGAGAAGAGGGCAAAGAGTCATTGCGGGGTATGAGGCCCAGGGTTTGTTTGTGTGTGAGGTGGGAGGCAACTCCTGAAACAACCAACCAGATGTATTTTCATTTTTTTTTACTCTGGGGAACGCAGTTTAAATTAAAATTTAAGATAGCAAGTGATTTTTGGAAGTCAGAAACAGGCTAAAGCTGTATAACCTGACATGTCTGTGAGAGTTGGAAAGGGCATTTTGAAGCTTTGCCTTATATAGTCTTGGGACTTTAGAGATGATAGCAGGTAACTACTACACTTTACTTGCTCTTGAAGGAGCCCTGGTTTGTTGTTGTTGTTGTTGTTGTTAAGTGCCCTCAAAGTGGATTATGAGCTGGGCTGCTAACTGCAAGATCCTTAGTTTGAATTTACCAGTTGCTCCTCAGCAGAAAGAGGAGGCTTTCTGCTCCTGTAAAGATTTACAGCCTCAGAAACCCTATACAGGCTCGCTGTGAGTCAGAAACAACTTGATAGCACACAACCACCATCACCACCGCACTTGAACTTTGCTGAAAGGTCTTGGTGTGGTATAGCTGGCTAGGTTAAGCACTGGATTGCTAATCACCAGGTTGGCAATTCAAACCCACTAGTCATTCCTTGGAAAACGTATGAAGGGTCACTGAGAGTTGGAATCAACTCGACGGCACTTAACAACAAGAAGCAGATGTTGTTGTTGTTAAGTGCAGTTGGGTTTCCGAGGAGTGACTGGTGAATTTAAACTCCTGACCTTGCAGTTCAAACCAACCTTGTGGTTGAGTGCTTACCCTACAGTGTCACACCAAGGTCACTGTGAGTTGGAACCAACTTGATGGCACTGAACAGAAAGAAGCAGATAGGTAGTATGTACACATCCAGTTTATGCCTTGAGTACCAATTGCTAGCATTTCCCTTTTCTACTCACCAATTGTTAGTGGAGGCTAAGGATAGGAGTCTGTCTATAAAATATTGCCAGAGCCAAGGAAGGCTTGGAAGCTGATGGTATCATGGTTGAAGAGGCAATGAAGAGGGGCTTTAGAAAATGGGTAGCTGGCTCTCTCCTACCAAATTATAACATCTCTTGTGACAAGGCATATAGACATGAAAATGGGCATGAACTGTCAGAGGATTGTTAGGATTTAAGGTTTGTGTTTTGTGCATCATCTTTTGACTATTTCACTTCTACGTGGGGTGGCTAGTTATAACCACATTTCCGTGAGACGCTTGGTTCTCCTGCAGCTGATCCTTCCTCCCACCTTCCACAATCTTGATCAGCTCTGTGACTCAGCTCTTCTCAGGACATATGAACAGCTTCTTCTTCTTTTTTTTTCTTCTGGGGCTAAAACTATAGCCAGGAGGTGTTGTAACCTAATGATTAGGTCTTAGCATTTCCTTTGAGTACTTGAGGGTCTTCTCCCACTCATGCATTCATGCAAATGGAAAGCCCCCTCAACAGAAGTAGATTTTGGGAGGGATTGTGGAGTGTCTTTTAGCCTCTGATTTAAAGACAGATTTTGCTTAATTCCTGTGAGCTGAAAAGGGGAAATTTGAAAGCCAACATTCACTTATACATCATGCTTACCAACTGGACCCAAAGACAGCTTTGCTGTTACACAACAACTTATATGCCTTCTCTTGGAACTGCCAGAGGAGTCACAGCAGTTTGCTGCCCCTGGAAATCCTGTCTCTGGACCTGGGCTGCCATCAAGGGAATTCCATTCATTTTTTTTTAGTGGGCAGGTGAACTCCCTCATGTTGATCTGAATCTTTACTATGGCTGACCCATTCTGTCTGCATGGAACTTGTGATCTCCTCTGATGCCCTGTAGGAAAGCAGCTTCCATTCTATAGGAAATGTTCCCTTCCCCAACCAATGCCGGGCCCATCTTCTCCTATCTGTTAACACTTTATATTTCCTAGAAGATTCCTAGCTTCAGGTCGGGGGCGAGATATAAGTTCATCCTATCTGCTTGTTCTTAGCTCTTGACTTGTACTTGTCTCTCTCCCTTTCTGGAACTCAAAGCTAAGTTTGGGAAAGCACCAAGAAGTGGCATCTGGATGCAGGTGTTTTGGTATCTCAGGACTCTTGATGTGGCGCTGTAGGATCACCAGTGGACTGCAAACTATAAAGTCGGCAGTTCAAAGCCAGCAGCTATTCCTTGGAAACTCTACACAGGGTCACTATGAGTTGGAACCAACTTGGCAGCACTTAATAACACCAACAACAGCAATGAATATGATGCTGCCTTGTCTCCTCCCCAGACCCAGCCCATGTCAATGTCCCCCACTTCTGCTCTACCACTACTTCCTTCTTCTGGGCCATCTTTTTCAAACCTCCTCTTGCCACTTTTTATTGTATTCTCACCACCTCTTTTGCTTCTGCTCTCTTTACTTCCCTTTTAGCTATGCTGTTTCATCTTTCTCCTGGTTTTCTTCTTCTTCTTCTTTTTTAAAGTTTTTATTGTGAATTATGTGGTAGTTTACATGGGAGAACATTAGCTTTACATTCATCCTATCGTATAGCGTTTCATTGCCATAATTACAATCCCTTCCATACATCATCAAACAATCAAAGCGTATACCCCGCAAGCCTGCTTCTTGGTCGTCAGTACACAGCCCCTCTTCCTCTCTATGTCTGAAGTCTCCAGCCACTCCATCTTGCCATGTCATCATCTCTGCCTCCATCTCTGGCATCACTGCATCTCTTGGTAGGGTCCCGCACTCTGCTCTTCTCCCTTGATGGTCCCAGGGACCTCCGCTCCTGGACTGAAAAATCAACCACTCCCCTCCTTTTGTTACAAAACGTCTACTTTTACATTTCCAACCCTCACAGTCAGTCCTGATAGCAGTTATTCACTATTGTATCACAAGAGTCCTATCCCCATCTCCTTTCATCAGCCCCACCCAGACAGATTGGATACGACTCAGTGGAGAGTCTACCTTCCTCCTTACCCTCTGGATCTAGGCTCCCTCTTGAAAGCTTGTAAGCCAGTCACTTCTTGCATTTGTAGCCCCCCCCATTTTGGGTAGCTAATGTCCAAGTTGCCCATCCCTGTCTACCCTGTGTACACAGGGGGTGGGAATGATCCTCGCTGTAAAGATTTGTTCCCTCTTTTGAGTTACTGCATCCATAGGTGTAGATCAAGTTCATCAAATTGTATCAGATTACTCTTTTTTTCCCCTCATTTTCTTCTTCTAGTTGAGTTCTGATCATCTGGCCATTTAGCTAGGTCCAGTGGGTATTATCTGCAAGTGTGGGTGTTCTTGTGCATATGCCCTTTCTTCTTATCAGCTGGATGCTTCACTCTCCACTCTAGTCCTCTGTGGCTATGTCTGGCTTTCTTCTTTTGTTTCCTATCATTAACCAGTGAGTAGCCCTGGTGTCTCCTGACCAGTGTTCCTTCTGACTTGAGTTGTCAGCCCCAGTTGGGATTCTGGCCTGACCTTATCTAGAATAAATAAACTCATTGATACTTTTATATTGAGGGTCTTTCTTTTATTTTTTTGAGGGGGCAGTCTCTCAACACTGCAAGGTACCCTCTGGAGGTTGGAGACAATAGACCACATCCCTAGTGGCTACCCGTAGAATATCCTTGTCTTATGTCTCACTCCTCTGTGGGACTTGGCCCCCTCTGGGCCTGGAAGACCAGAGGTGCGGTGTCTTAGTGGCTTTCTTGCTGTCCTTGTGTTGTGATGTGGGGATGACCTTAAGCCAACCATCTCACAACTTTGTTTGGCTGCAGAATGAAGACCTGATAAGCTCAGGCTACTAAGAATTTTGCTTTGTTGGAGCCAGCAGGGCCCAGGGGTGGGTGGTATCTGTCTTCTGAATGTCATGTGGTGCTTTCTAATTAATTAGCAATTACTCAGATAGTCAGGTTGGGTGTATCTGCTTATTGAAAGGTGTTCATCATCCTTGGGGAGAATAGAGCTCTTGTCCTTTCCTTTGGTGCTTCAGAGAGACCTAAGGGAATCAGGAGGAGAAGGAGGCTGGAATGTAAGTGCTGTTGCTCTCACATTGCCAGAGACCCTGCTCTGAGTCAGCCGACACTGTCAGGAGCTGAGGCTTTAGATTGTAAGTGGCTTCTGTATAACAACAGCAAAGTGAGGTAAGTGCTGTTAGAACCAAGGGATGCCGTCCTGCCCCAAGCCTCCAGGAATCCTTCTAATTGAATCCCTGGGCACCTTCATGGGGCCTGAGGGACTGCTCTTTCTGACTGAGTTACTGGCAGAGATTGAATGGGTGCTTCAATCTTTTGTGAGATAGTTTCTTCATCTGTAAAATTGGGTTAAACTACTTCACAAAGTTTTTGTGAAGAGAATTAATAATGGCTACTATTTATGAGGCACTTGCTTCTCACCAAACTCTTATGAGGTATTGGTAATATTATTATCCCCATTTCACAGATGAAGAAACAGAGGTACATAAAGGTTAAATGGTTTGTGGTCACACAATTAGTCAGTGGCCAAGACTTGAACCCAGGACCCTAAAGCACAATCTAGACTTATATCCTCTATGTAGGTAACGTGCCTAACACTATGTTTGACATAATAGAACCTCAGTAAGATTTGTTGTGAATAAGTGTTCCTGGATTTTGATGACTGCTTATAGACTTGATAGAGGTTTTGAGGATCTAGTTGGGCTGGAATATTTGGTGCTGAGTTAATGAGAGAGAGAGGAGTGAAGCCAGAGAAGTTCCTCCAGGTTTTGTTTCACCAACACCTCCCTCCTATCATGCAGGGTGATGTGAGCAGAGTCCAGGAATGCCTTATGTGGATCGGCAGAACCGAATCTGTGGGTTTCTGGACATCGAGGAGAATGAGAACAGCGGCAAGTTTCTGCGAAGGTACTTTATTTTGGACACCCAGGCCAACTGCCTTCTCTGGTACATGGACAACCCCCAGGTGAGAGGCTCAGTGGGACAGAACAGGGCAGCTGACTGCCCATCACTGCCTGGGAGGAATGCACACAGGATTAGCCTCAAGGGCTGCATCTCCTATGAACTGCATATAATCTCCCCCTCCCACCCCCCCCACCAATCCCAGATGCATAGTACACACACAGATCTTAAGTAAGAAGAAGTTCATCCCTCTTGACCTGGAGAATCTTTTCTCATACTTAGGAATTCAGCACTTGCAAAAGTCAGGTAGAGGCCAGACAGGCTGGGTCCAGGTTCCAAGGCCTGGCTTGCTTTCTTTTACCTCTCTTGTTAGGGCTGTGGCCTGGTAGCCACTCCTGCTCTTCCAGTCTAGGGTGCTTCCCCCGCAGAGAATGTGACCTGGTTCCCTGAGCTGGACAACTGTTGGACTTCTTTGGTCTATAGAATCAGAGTCACAGCACCCTAGGTTGGAGGTGACTTTTGTGGTCACCCAGTTTTGCTTCTTCATGCTCCAGATGAGAAAATGAAATCTCAGACATTAAGTGACTTCCTAGTACTTTGTGCAGGTCAGACACAAAGGAGGGGTATCCACCTAAGTTTTATTGTTATGCCTAGGGGTCTCAGGAGTCATCACTAGTCTGGGAATATGTTAGTCCACCCATGATTTAAGGTCCCTAGTTGGTGCAAACCACTTGTGATTGGCTGCTAACTGAAAGGTTGGCAGTTTAAACCCACCCAGCTGTACCATAGAAGAAAAGGGTTAGCCATCTGCTTCTGTTGGTGATTACAGCAAAGAAAACCTCATGGGGCAGTTCTGCTCTGCATGCATGGGATCACTATGAGTTGGAATTAAGTCTAAGGCACTAACAACAATGATAAGGGATCCCAGGTCTCCCCCTACACACACCCCTTTCTGGCTTTGTAAGTACTGTTGGCTGTTTCCTTCCCACTACCCTGAAAAAGTTCAGTGGGCTGAGACCCCCAAAGATTGGTGTGGCCCCTGAACAGTAAGAGCATGGAGTCCTGGCCTTGTTGGGGAGGAAATTAGGGTTGGGATCTTGTTCTGGTTCAGATGCTTTAGGGAGAGGAAAGTCTGAGCATTTAGGGATTAATTTGTCCTTTAAAATGTGACTCTTAATTTGGGGATCAATTATTTTGAGCTGTTTAGTATCTGTCCTTTGGATTTGATGGCTGAGATAAAACAACAACTATAAATGTAGAAAATACAGTCAGAAAGTCAGTGGCCACTAGTCATCTTCTCCAGGAAAGGCTTAATCCTCAATAGAACTGTACATTTCACCTCACATTATTGATAAAACTTCTGTCAGTTGCTTTCATTGGGCTGTTGAGTATTCAGAATGAATCCTTTTGATGGATGTAGTTTCATTCTTGACTTACTCTGGAACTCTTGCTTCTTATGCAGACAGTTCCTGACTTAGGATGTATATTACATGTCATGAAACACACTTATGTCTATTTATTATCATTTTTATACATCTTATCATTAGTAATATGTACTATATACAGTGTTTAAGCACATAATTTGGTGATGTTATCTTTCTCAGATGTTCGTTCAGTCACAGATGTTCAATGTTACAGTTTATACTCTTGTATAGCAAGGTATGTCAGCTAAAAATAAGAGGTATTTCACTTACATCAGAACCGACTTATGACTACCTATAATGTTCTGGTCATGGGTTTATCTTCAGGCCCTGCCATATTATTTTCCCTGCCTTTATTGTCTTTAGCGGAGTCCTGGTGTGGTGCTGTGGGTTAATGCGCTGGCCTGCAAAGTTAGTGTGAACTGCAAGGTTAGTAGTTCAGATTTACCAGCTGCTCCTCAGAAACCCTATACAGTGTCGCTATGGGTCAGAACCAACTCGACAGCACCTAACAACAACAACCACATTGTCTTTAGCTGCCTACAACTGTGTCAACTGATAGGTTTCACTTAAGTTCGTGTGGGAATTTCCATTGTGAAAGGAGTAGCATTGAAGGTGCCTCTTCTCCTTTGTTGGAGGAACTTGAAATCAAGTCCTTGTTGTCAATAGACTTAGCTTCTGGAATTTCAGGGAGTGTTCTCTGAGTGAATTCTGGTGTTCAGATCTTAGCATTCCCTTTTTCCGGTCTCCCTTTTTGTGTTCCTTTTTCTAGTCACTTGCTGTGGTAGCTCAGTTAACTCAAATCTACTTTTGTCTTGATAAACCCACCTAGCTCCATGCTTCCCTTTACTAGGACTGTTCTTAATCCAAATTCACTGTCTAGTTGTCATCAGCTGCCTCTTCTGAGGGTTGGATCCCCTTCAGATCTTGACCACAGGCTGCGTGCCTTGTTGATACTGACAGATCATCCAAGGCCACCTGTGGGATCTTGCATGTTGTCAGCTGTTAGGATTTCCCTTGTTCTGTTGTGCTCTCTGACTTGGCTGCCTCAAGATTCTAGAACTTGGACTTACCTTGGATGCTGCCTTCCTGGGTTCTCAGAGTCAGTCTCTGCATTGCTATTCCTATGCCCAAGGAAGTCTCTTGCTCCTTTTCTCTCAGGATCTCTTTGTGCCAAAGCCTTTTTTGAGTTTGACTTACCAATTACATCTGGTTGTTATGCTGGAGATTCTTTATGTTTTCCCAGGAAGCAGTAGTATTCAGCTTACTTAGTGTATGTCTATAAAGGAAGATTTTTTGATATGACATAGCAGTAGTTCAGAACATTTTACTTCTTCATTTATGGGATTAGCTCTTGTTAAGCACAGTGACCAAGTCACCTCTCCATACTTGAGAATGGATATTTTGGTAAGATGTCAAATGGTTTTAGCTAATATTCGTTACTGTGTTCCAAGCCCTGTGTTAATGGCCCTACTGGGTTTCCATTTCATTCTGACAACAATTCTAATTGGTAGTCATTATTGTCCTCCTTCTAAAGGTGAAGAAGGTGATGCAGAGAGAGCAAGAAACTTGGCCATGATTACGTAACAAAAAAAGTTGCAGAGCCAGGTTCAAACCTAGGCAGTCTGACTCCAGTGCCCCTGATAATTAGTGTAGGTAGAGAAAGAGTCCTCATAGTGCTGCTTGTGAGAAAGGAGAGCCTTCAGAGGAAGCCTCAGATTAAGAAAGAGACTCTCAGGGCTGGGAGGCCCTACAGGGATGCAAGCTCATCTGTTTTACTTTTGATTTACGGTGTACAGCATTTTATAAATGCATATTCAGTGAATGAATGTCTGAGCAAGTGAACAAACTAAAGAGGAATAGGTAAAGGGGGTTGTCAAAAAGGAACACTTGGAAATGAAGAGTGCCTGATACTCTCTCCTGGATCAAGGGCAGGACCTAAACTGCAATGGAAACTGCAGAATGGGCCAAAGCAGAGCCCTAGGAGTCAGAAGAAGTGGGTAGGAGGTTGTCCCCAAGAACAAACTAGGGGTTATGATCTATCCCTGTAGAGAGGTGTTGGGAGTTAAACTGTGTTTGGTCACTGGTTAACACATTTAGAGGCATCTGACATGGTTTATTAATAGATATTAATAGGCAAGGGATTTTATGAACTCATGTCTCTGGTCTTTGCCTATTTAAGCCATTGATTGCTGATGCTTAGCCTGATTTTATTACTGTTGCTGCTGCTACTACTATTGTTATGATTAACTACAGCCTATACTTATTGAGCGGCTGCCATGTATCAGCCACTGTGCAAAATGCTTTACATGTATTATCTCATTAAATCCTCTCAGTAACCCAGGACATAGGGACTGTTGGTCACTTTCATAGTTGTTGTTGCTGTTGTTGTTGTTAGGTGCCATTGAGTCAGTACTGACCCATAGCGACCTTATGCACAGCAGAATGAAACACTGCCCGATCCTGGGCCAACTTCACTACTGTTGCCACGCTTGAGTCCATCAATGCTGCCACTTGACTAATCCATCTCATTTGGGGGTCTTCCTCTTTTTCTCTAACCCTCCACCTTACCAAAAAAGATATCCTTCTCGAGTGACTGATCCCTCCTGACAATATGTCCGAAGTATGAGAGACGAAGTTTGGCCATCTTGGCCGCCAAAGAGCTCTCTGGCTGCACTTCTTCCAAAACGGATGTATTGGTTCTTTTGGCAGCCCATGGCACTTTCAATATTCTCCTCCAACACCATAACTCAAAAGCATCAGTTCTTCTCCGGTCTTCCTTTTTCACTGTCCAGCTTTCTCATGCATATGGGGTTGTTGAAAATACCATGACTTGGGTCAGGCGCACCTTAGTCCTCAAGCTGACATCTTTGCTCTTCAACACTTTAAAAAGGTCTTGTGCAGCAGATTTGCCTAATGCAATACGTCCTTTGATTTCTTGAGTGCTGCTTCCGTGAGTGTTGATAGTTGATCCAAGAGGAATGAAGCCCTTGACAACTTCAATCTTCTCCGTTGATAAGAATGTTGTTTATTGTTCCAGGGGTGAGGATTTTTGTTTTCTTTACATTGAGATGTAATCCATATTGAAGGCTGTGCTCTTTGATCTTCATCAGTAAATGTTTTAAGTCCTCTTCACTTTCAGCAAGCAAGGTTGTATCATCTGCACATCGCAGGTTTTTAATGAGTCTTCCTCCAATCCTGATGCCATGTTTTTCTACATAGAACCCAGCTTCTCGGATTATTTGCTCAGCATATAGGTTGAATAAGTATGGTGAAAGAATACAACCTTGTTGCACACCTTTTTAAATTTTAAACCATTCAGTGTTCCCGTGTCATGATCCATACAATCAAAAACCTGTGTGTAGTCAATAAAGCACAGGCAAACATCTTTCTGATATTCTCAGACATCAGCAATGATATCCCTCGTTCCATGGCCTCTTCTGAATCCGGCTTGAACCTCTGGAAGTTCTCTTTCAATGTATGATTGTAGCTGTTTTTGTATTACCTTTAGCAAAACTACTCGCATGGGATATCAAAGAGATTGTCCAATGATCTCATAATACAGGTAATAAAAGTAAGATGCAGAGAAGCTCAGGGACTTTGTTCAAGGTCACATAGGTGGTCAGTGCAGAGCTGTAGCTGT